CAAGACACATCATAATTAAACTTCTGAAAACTAAAGACAAAGAGAAAATCTTAAAAACAGTCAGAGAGAAATGATGCATTACCTATAAGGGAACAACAATTCAAATGATAGTGAGTTTCACATCAGAAACCAGGGAGGGTAGAAGAAAGTGGCACATTTTTCAAGCGCTAAAAGAAAAGAACTGTCAACTGCAAATTCTATATCTGGTGAAACTTATCTTCAGGAATGAAGGGGAAATAAAGACATTACCAGACAAAGAAGGAGTTTATTGCCAGGCAGTTGTAGTGGTGGTGGTTGTTAGTTGCTGTCAGGTTGATTCTGACTCATGGAAACCCCATGTGTGGTGAGTAGAACTGCTCCATAGTATTTTCAAGACTCTGTGACCTTTCAGAAGTAGATTGCCAAGGCTGTCTTTTGAGACGCCTCTGGGTAGCTTTGAACCACCAGCCTTTTGGCTAGTAGTCGTCAAGTGCTTAAACATTTGCACTTCAGATTTCTAGCAGACCTACCCTTAAAGAGTAGCTAAAGTAAGTCCTCCAAATAGATATGCTACAGAAGGGGACTTGAAATTTCAGAAATGAAAGAACAACAATAATATAATAGACTATCCTCATAAGTGTCTTAAATCATATTTGATAATTGAAACAAAAATTATAGCACCATGGTGAGCACATGTATGAAGAAGAAATATTAAGAGATTACATTTAAAAAGTATAGAGAATGGGCCACATAAACCAGAGACTTCATCAGCCTGAGACCAGAAGAACTAGCTGGTACCCAGCTACCACCAGTGACCGCCGTGACAGGGAACACAACAGAGAGTCCCGGATGGAGCAGGAGAAAAGTTGGTTGCAGAACTCAAATTCTAGTAAGAAGACCAGACTTAATGGTCTGACTAAGACTGGGGGAACCCCTGAAAGCATGGTCCCTGGATTCTCTATCAGCCCAGAACTAAAACAGTTTCCAGTGCCAACTCTTCAGACAGGTATTGGACTGGGCTGTGGGACATAAAGTGATACTGTGAGGAGTGTGCCTTTTAGCTCTAGTAGATACAAGAGACTAAACGGGCAGCTTCTGTCTGGAGGTGAGATGGGAAGGCGGAGAGGGTTAGGAGCTGGTTGAATGGACATGGGGAATTGGGTGGAAAGGAAGAGTGTGCTGTCACAGTATGGGGAGAGCAATTAAGGTCACATAACAACGTATGTATAAAGTTTTGTATGAAAAAAATAAAAAGTGTAGGGGATAAGCAGTCTTAATTGGAAGTTAGGTTTTAGTACTTCATTCAAAGTGATATAATGTTGATACCAGTAGGCTATGATAAGTTATGTATGTATATTTTAATACCTAGCGTAACCACTAAGAAAACTCTACAGATCTGTGTACTCAAAAACACTATAAAAAATAAAAATGGAATTGTAAAATATGTTCAAGTATAACTCACAGGAAGAGAAAGAGAAACAGAGGAGTGAGAAACAGAGGGAACAAACAAAACAAATAATAAAATGGCAAACTTAGGCCCTAACATGCCAATAATTACTTTCAATGTAAATGGTCTAAATACTACAATTAAAAGGTAGAGATTGGAAGAGTAGGTTTAAAAATGTTACCTAAGTATAAGTTAGCTATAAGAAACTCGTGTCGAACATAAGGACATAGGTAGGTTGAAAGTAAAAGGATGAAAAATGGTATATGTTAACATTAATTTTGAAAAAGCAGGAATTGGCTGTATTAATATCAGGCAAAGTAGACTAGTATCAGAGCAAAGAATAAAGGGTTACTCCACCAAGAAGTCTTACCAATCTAAATGTGTATGCCAAGCTACAGAGCTTCAAAGTACATAAAACAAAAACTGATAGAGCTGAAAGGAAAAATAGATGTGCAGTTATAATTAGTGACTTCTACACCCCACTCTAAGCAGTTGATAGAACTACTAGACAGAGTATTAGTAAAGATACATAATGATTTAACAACACCATCAAACAACAGGGTCTAATTGACATTTTTAGAATGCTTCACCCAATAGCAGCAGAATACACATTCTTTTCAAGTGTCTATGGAATATTCACCAAGATGGATCGTAGGTCATAAAACAAACCCCAATAAATTTAAAAGAATTGGGATGATACAGAATATGTTTTCTGACCATAATGGAATCAAGTTAGAAACCTGTAATAGAAAGACTACAGGAAAATCTTCAGACACTTGGAAGTTACACAGCACGCATCTAAATAATCCGTGTTTGTTTATTTCAGAACAAGATCACCCACTCATTCATCCATTCATGCTAACAGAATAAGTGTACTAGAGTTATACAAGTTGTCAACATTGAGGGAGGTGGGTGGGGGACACATGGGAGCTAACACAACTGCCACCCATCCTCCCTCATTAACATCATAGAGACAGGTTTACAACATAC